AAATATCATGATTATAAATAGTAACAAGTTTAAATATTATGTTTTTTAGCTATATGTACAAATTGTATTATTTTACTACTTTTTTTTATCAATTTGTATTATTTTGCCATTATTTTTCTAAATTGCTAATTTTAAAAAATAAAAAGAAAAGAAAAGCACTATTACCTCAGTCCGACACTCAAGGCATATTGCACACCCCCAGTCTATTAATTTAAGTGGCGTCTTTCCTTGGGAGGATTGGACAATACCTTTTCAGGCAATGCCGTACAAAAAATAGATTCATAGTCACATGTTCTAGACATGTCTTTCGTATTTCAAACATAGTACCATTGCCATGGTGAGTTTAGGAGTGTAATCGAAATGTATTTTTAAATTTTTTGTTTTTGTTTTAGATTACTTTTTAATACTTTTGAATTTTTTTAATACAATAATATTAAAAATAAATTTTAAAAATAAAAAAATATTTTATTTTAATATATTTTTAAATAAAAAATATTTTAAAAACCAATCTCAACCAAAATTCATGAATAACCATTTCACTTTCCTTATATTTTTTTTGAATTCAACTGTTATTTGCAGAAATTTTAATAATGCAATTCATTAAAATGTATATGTTTTAAAAGTTCCATGCTATTTAAGAAAAAATCTTGGGACTTAATATAGTTGGAGAATAGGACTTGTTAAAATTAGATCTCGAAATAATTTTTTATTATATTTTCATTGTAGTTTTGAAATTTAACTCGATCTGGTAGGTTGATTTGGGATCTAGTCAGTCCAAGACTAGAACCGGGTAGAGTTAAAGAAAAAATAAAAAAAATTATGACTTGGTGTGACATGATGAGTTAACCTGATGATCTAGCTACCATGACAAAACCGATCAAAAACCAGTTTACAATCTATTGGCTTTTTTTATATATATTTTTACTAAAATGATATTGTTTTAATTTTTTTAAATAAAAATTGATCTAACCGACCCAATAATCTAGTTAAAACTCAAAACTTGGATATTAGACCAAACCAGATATACAAACTATAATTTTCACAGACAGTACAAACTTTTGAAAAACCAAGATTTTCATAATTAACAATCTTTAAAATATTGTTGCAGTCAACAAGATGATCTTTTAATATTATTATAATGACTTTAAAGTATTTTTTATTTTAAAATATTTTAAAATATATTAAAATAACATATATTTTTTATTTTTAATATTAATATATTAAAACAATAAAAAATTATATAAATAATTTTTTTTTATAAACACAATACCACTACAAAAGCAAATGCATTGGCTGCGTTTTAAATAAAACATAATTTTTGAATGTTTGGTTTGAAAAAACACATTTTATTGTTTATGGTCCCACCTTTTACTGTGTTACACAGTTATCATAAACACTGAGTGATTGCTTTTGTTTCAACAGCAAATAATTGCTAACACGTATTTATGTATTATTTCTGCTAATTAATTAGCACGAATAATATAGCATATTCTTT